CCGACTTCCCAGAGCCACACACAGGGTTAACAATACAATAATTATACTCTGTCTTAGATTATGTCACCCTTAAATTAACAATTCTATAACATCCTTTAGCTCTCTTCTGAACAAAGTTATGTGATTATTATTATTTGAAATTTTCTCAGATTATTGCATCGTTGTACAATCAGCCACATGTTTAGATTGGATTGGGCATTTTTATCAACCTATAGTATTATTATCACCACCAGCAGCAGCAGCAGTAGCAACATGCTATCTTTCTCATAGTTAATGTACCATAAGACATATACAAGTTGTTTTGATTCCATAAGCATATACGGGTATCACCAAGTGAAGAAATTTTGCATCTGTTTCCTTGTAAATCAAATTTCTAAGGCAGCCCAATTCCATAAGGACTCTGGGTGATGTACAGCATTAAAAATAGTTTTACTTTGTTGTTCGGAGGCTAAGCACACACTTTTCACATAAATCTCCCAAGTGCAATCCCTGGTTTCTCCAGAGTAGGGGCAAGAAAGACTGATTTCTTCAGAATAAACTGCAAGAAATCTTATTAGTTCAGCAATGAAGGGAGGGATAGCCCTGAAGTAGGCAGACCACAATTTAAGTTTTTAAAAGGCGGCTTCCTATGTGCCTAAGGGATGACAGGAATCACAACTGTTAGCCAAGCTGCAAGCCGCTATTTTTCAAATCATTTTGGATTCATTATTTCTGGAATGTTGCCATGTAGGTCAGTTCTGCTTATTTGGCAAGTAAAAACACTGCTTTGTGCTTATGTGCATATGTCCTAACTTCTTTTTTATTTTAATAGCTAGCATTTCTTTGTCTTGTATTCAGCCTCTGAAAAAGCCACTTTTTTAAAGACAGGGTTACGATTTTGTTGAAATTCTCCCCATATCAATCACGCAGTCTACTTCAAGCGGCTGATCAACCTCAAGCAAGTAAGTCCCAGATGTTCCATCACAGAACACAACTGTCAGGAAAGAGCATTTAGGAATATTCCAAACAACAAAGATTCTCTGAAGAATTAAAACATCTGGTGAGATAAGGATATAAATCTTCATGGCTCAGTGCAAATGTTCATTTCAGGGCCTATTTTTGGATTTCAGGATTGTTTAGCAGGGATAAGAAAATGGAAATACAGAAAGAATGCCTTTTCAAACTTCTAGGGATATACAGATAGTCCTCGACTTACCATCACTATTGAGGCCCAAAGATTCTGTTGCTAAGTGAGAGTTGTTAAGTGAGTTTTGCCCCATTTTACGACCTTTCTTGCCACAGTTGTTAAATGAACCACTGCAGCTGCTAAGTTAATAACATGGTTGTCAGGTGAATCTGGCTTCCCCATTGAGTTTGCTTGTTAAAAAGTCGCAAAAGGGGATCACCTGACCTCAGGACACTGCAACCGTCATAAATATGAGTCAGTTGCCAAGCACCTGAATTTTGATCATGTGTCCACAGCAATCCTGCAGTGGTCGTAAAGTGTGAAAAAAGGTCTTGTCACTTTTTTTCAGCAGCGTTGTAACTTCAAATGGTCACTAAACAAACTGTTGTAAATTGAAGGCTATCTGTATTTATTCATTTCTTCAATAACTCATATTGTATTAATGGTTCTTTATATCACAAGAAATTGCATCCAGTTAAGAGATGTAACTTATTACACATGGTATAGTCCAAAATCCAAGCAGAAATATTTGCAATGCAGACAATACAAATACCATCCTGTATCTTTCCCCAAAAGCTTCTTTGTTCACCTTTGAGCAACTATGTGAACTACTTGAAAACTACTGAACTTAACTGCAGTAAGGAAACTTCTTCCTGGATCAAATTATTATTCATCAGCACAATCATTTATTACAGCTAACAAAAATTTCTTCCCATCAGCAATACAACAAATGGACTATCTAAAGGCAAGAGAAAGAGTTCTTTATATCTGCGTCCCTATACAAACAAACACGCACACACAAGCACATATAAAAGAAGGGAATTAATATGAAAATATATGAATTTGGAAACACTCTTGCCTGACTCTCCCTGCCTAAAGAAGATGTGATGCATGTTTACATCCTCTGGTCACTCTGGCGCTCTACATTCTAGTGCAGAACAAAAGAAATGGGAAAATATTCCTCCAATCCTAATTTATCATTCCTTTATTAATGAAGGGGCAAAGTCCCTAACATAATGAGTATGTTAAAAAGTAAAGGTAAACTCTTACTCCACCAGCTCAAATGTCTCCTTCTCAATCATCCTGTACAGTTCTTCAACACCACTCAATGTAAAGTTCTTCAGTTCCACTCAATTTAAAGTTAGATGAGCAAGTTTCTACCATTAAATTCAAAACCTCAAAGGTCAACAATTTTAATAGTACCTGGTAGGGAGATACCCCCAATTACTTGTTCACCCCAAAGGGCAATTTCACTTTATTCTTCAGTTTGTATTCTTGTATCTTATAATTAATACTGAAAAGAATAAGTTTTACATACCCTTAACCACTGTTTCTCTGTCAAAGCGTCACTGTAGTCCACATCCCTACGTTGACGGGACCCTCTCCCAAATATTTTTTCCTCCTCCTCTTCACACGTAAGCCTTTCAACTTCAGCATCGTCTTTGATGATCCAAGATGGCAACTCGTCTTCCTCCATCAAGCGTGGTTTGCGTTTTGGATTTCGAGCATCCTCCCTGCGCCTATCCAAGTCCATTCGCTGCAGATGTAATAAATATGATATTTAAGAAAGGGGATAGCAAAACAAATGCTTGCGGAATGTACTGGCTTTTTATTTTCTCAATAAAATTATCTGCCATGACAAACCTGATTTCTGCAATACCATGAACTAGAAATATTTGCTGAACAGGAAATCCAATTAAACATCCACTCTTAGAAGCATATATTAAGTATAGTAAGCTATATGTACACCAGCTATTCTAATACTGGATTTTAGCCAAAATGGAATCACCAAGAAACAAGAGGGAGTTATCAGCATGTCTGAGAAATAAAGTTTGCGGAAATACAAAGACCCTCCAACAACAAATTTACTTATTTGTATATATTAATAGTTCTAAGTATCAGTTCTTCCACAATAATCTTTTTTTGAAGTAATATCAAAACTAAGGGCTACTACAGCTTTTGCTATCGCCAAGTGTCACAATACCGAGCTTTTCAGCCAGCAGTTCTATAACTTCTATAAATTCCAAGTAAATTAGGCTACAATTTAGTACTGTAGTACACCAACTGTATTTCTTAGCTTTCCTTTTTCTG